AAACGAGACAAACATATCGGCAAACTTCAGATTTATTCAAAGTCTAGAGTTTCGCCCATCTCTGCGCAGCACTGTAGGTTAATTAAATAGTAAGTTTTTGTTACTTAGTTGGTAAGTTTAGTTTTAAGTGGCGTCCCCTCTCCTTTTTGTAACAGATAAAAGAGAACGCGTCTCTGGCATTCAAAGGAATGCGTCTAAACGTGTCGCATAGAGAATAAAGTGTAATCCTCCAAAATCGAAACTCGTGGGTCTCTATTTCTTACAGTAGACACCTAACCTCTCGCAACAAGTTTGTCGCGCCACAAATTTATTAAACAATATAATCAGAGATATATATCAGTGAACGTAATTAGATAAATATATTATGCAATGCAATTAGATAAATATGCTAGACAAATACATTAGGCGATATTCTTAAAATATTGTTGCGGCGGCATGAAGATGCCGCAATATTGCGAAGTTGCATCGTCGCGGCAGCGTGAAGACTTAATATCGAATAGACGTGTTTACCTTGAGTTATTATTATAGTTAATAAACGTTTTGAATTCTTGTTCCTTTTATAAAAGACGTGTTAATTATTTAAAATGACTACTCCTCGTTGTGTCACCACCTCCCGGCGCAACGATTACGGCGCAGTTAAAGCTTGTTCCCAATGCCTACATTGGGTCTATTTCTAACAGTCCCCCTCAATGTTGGCAGACTGGTTAACCCTGTATGGTAGCAAAAACTAAGGTGCTTCTATCTCGAAACACATTTGGACTGTGCGTCGGCCACCATCCGTTCCGTTGGCATATATTCGATTACAACCTCTCCATTTTGGGCCATATCCCTGATAAAATGACATCGAATGTCGATATGTTTGGTCCCAGCATGATATCCAGGATGGTTAGTCATAAATTGAGCACATCGGCTATCGTTAAAAATTACTCTGCTTACGCGATTCCCAAGAAACCAGCGTAAACACGAACCCTGTGTATGATTTCCGATTTATGTAATATTGCCCCCCCCCCCCCCTCGCTACACCAAAACAAATACATCAAACCCTTTCAGACAGTACTTCCACGTAGACAATATACATGTATATGTCGCAGGGGAACTATAAAAATAGAAATTTGACCAAATCCCTAAGGTAGATCAATTCACGGAAGATGATAAAATAACAACACCGTATAGTTATTTCCCTAAAGAAAGTAAGTGATTCGATCAAATCCTTTACCTGTTTTAGTGTAAAGATGAAATAATATTGTTTAGATATTTAAAGTATTTATTTAGTAAATCATGCGTCATTAAAAGTAGAATAGGTAATACAACAATACTCAAAGAAACATAAATTATTTATTCGAGACTAATTAGCAAAAGAAATAGGTACTTAAGCTTATAGGTAATTAAGCTGATATTTAAAAAAACAAAAACTATTGTTGTATTACCTACTCTACACTTAATAACGCATGATTTACTACATTAATACTTTTAACATCTAAACAATATTATTCCATCTTTTCACTAAAACAGTTAAGGGATTTGACCAAATCACTTACTTTCTTTAGGGAAATGACCTCACAGAGTTGTTATTTTAACATCTCCCGTGAATTGATCTACCTTAGGGATTTGGTCAAATTTCTATTTTTATCATTTCCCTGCGACATATCTATTGAAGGTTTAGGTTAACGGACTATACAAGTGATTTTTGTGTATATCGCGGAAACTAATTTCATCTCTCTAGATTACGCACCGAGGTTGAAATGCGGAAGTCACGTTTACAATTGAAAAGGTATTTACCAAAAACATTTCGAGACTTTGTTAGACTGGGAATTCTACCCGATCTTACAATGAGGTAACACGAAGTCTGCGTCTGATACTTCCTCAAATAATATGACCCGAACTTTACTTTACTATGCTTTATGGGGATTCTACCCGATCTTGCTTACGCGGGTTAAGGTATAGCGCGACGTTACTTCAGCGTGTCCTAAAAAAAAAATGAGCCCGAGAGATGCAAAACGCATCGGTTTATATACCCTAAATTCTGTTAAAAATCGGTAGTGGAAGTTGATTATATTAATTCTATGCGGAGATACGTAGAGGCACGTAGCTCCTATTTCTCCATGGAAATCAGTCCCGCGACGCACCCTAGTTTCTTAGTAAAAACTTTATCGAAGGGCTGCGGCCACATGCGCTTGAAAGGGCAAATGTCACGGAGGAGAGGTGTGTATAGTGAGATTGTCAAGAAATAATTCACCACGAATTGTTGAAGTAAAATTTAACGATTACTGCGGATAGATACGTTCAGCAGTTGCAAAGAGTGCAAAAGAAACTCCATGAAAAGCGTCCTGCACTCGTCAATTGCAGAAACGTAATTCTTTTACATGACAATGCGCGACCACATCCACCAAGGGTGACTCAAGAAAAGATTCTTGAGCTTGGATGGTTTGTTTTACCACATCCACCTTACTCCCCGGATCTTGCTCCGACAGACTACTACCTTTTCTTCCTTACAAAACTTTTTGAATGGAAAAACCTTCAATTCTAAAGAGCAAGTCAGGCAGACTGTCGAAAATTTCTTCCAGTTCAAACCTACCACATTTTATAAGGATGGAATTGATAAACTCCCAGGAAGATGGGAGAAGGTTACAGATAACAGTAATGAATACATAATAAATTAATATAATATTGTTATTTAAAGAGAGCAAAATAAATATCTGATAAAAAAACGGAAGTTACTTATGACTCGACCTAATAGTTCCTTTGTATAGGTTTGTAAGTCGTCCAATCAGACTCGTTCATGATCTTGCTATCCGCGGCCGCGGTTGTCAACAGTCGCGTCGTTAAGCGAAAAGGTTCGCGATTTCGTGATCCGCGCCTCGTGTCTCGCACCGCGCGGCAGCCTTTCTCCGATGATCTATGTAGAAGCTATCGAAGCTTTGTATGCTCGCTTTTCTTATTTCTTGAATTTTCGTATGCTACACAATTAATAATTGATTTATATTGTTGCGATGGTATGAAGATGCCGCACAATATCCCGAAGTTGCAACGTGGCGATAATGCGAAGATGATGCGATGATTTGAAGCGGCTCCTTTGAACGAGCGGAAACAAGTTCCCGTTCCGGTTGTCAAGAACCGGCAGATATTTGAAATAGCAGAATGGTGACAAACCTAATACTGAGCAAACGTGTATTTCTTGTACCAAAGTTAATTGAGTTATTGTAAATAAACGTCAAGAGTTGCTGTTTGTTTAATAAATCCTGACTGTTATAATGGATTCTACGCGGTGTTCAACTCTTCGGCGCAACAATATTAATAAAATTAATGGATATTAATATATTTAGCGAATTAAAAGTATACCATTTTCAGACAATTCATTTCAAAATTTGTTCTACTGCTATAATTTATACAAGATGCTTCGTTTATCTTGAACAGTTCTCCGTTACTTTCGACAGTAATAATAAAAAAACTAGTCTGGAAGTTGTTTCGCTCTCAAAGTCAAATATTTGGTTAACGATGTTTCTTCCATGTGTTATTTTTGCCAAGTTTCCTAGATCATACCTATTGCCTTTTGTAATAACGATGCTTTTATTATCGTATTGTAATAGCTGGATACAAAATGAAATTAATTATATTGTACATTTAAAATTATAAATTTCAAGCGTGATTATTTTCAAGTTGATATGCTTCTTGGATATCAAGAATATTGATTATTAAATAGGATTCATTAAATATATCTTTTGTTTTGCCAAAACTATTTACTATTTCTGTAATCTAAAGTACAAATTCACTATGCTCAACAAAAAATTCGTCTGATATGAGAAACAAATGGAAAAGAAAAGCACATCTGTGCTAACTGATTCATTTTCGTTGGAAGTAGAAGTCCTTTGTATAAAAACAAAGTATCTCGCGAGTCCGTTATGTAATAAATTCGTGTGAATCCCGTTAGTATAATCGAATAGAGGTAACTGGGTTATACCTCTTCGAACTATGTGACGTACTGTATACAGGGTGTCCCAAAAATGTTGTAACACCTTGAAAGGGTTGGTTCGGGAGGTGATTCGAAACAACTTTTTCCTTAGCGAAAATGTTATCCGAGGCTTCGTTGAAGAGATATTAATGGAAAACGTCGACCAATCAGAGCGCGCGGATACCGGTGGACTGGCCGCGGTAGCGAAGGCTACGAGCTAAGCGACCGCGCTTGTACGCGAACAAGTGACTCAACATGCATCGAAGGTCAGTGTTTTCCTCAACGAGCCTCGGACAACATTTTCGCTAAGGTAAAAGTTGTTTCAAATCACCTCCCCAACCACTCCTTTCAAGGTGTTACAACATTTTTGGGATACCCTGTATATATATACAGAATCTTATTCTATAAATCAAGAATATTTATATATATCATTCTTCCTACTCGACAACTAGTCATATACAATGGCATGCGCAGAATATAATTCTGGGAAGGATTAGCATAATGGAATTTTTTAAAAAGGTTACAAACAACTTGAACTCTTCTTGTTTTCACAAGTTCGTTTAGCATTTTCTCTGAAAGAATTTAAATACTTTTATGAATATGTAATTGAACCACTAAAATTGAGAATAGTCTAAATCAGTTTTATCTGAACTTCGAAAATTAATGTCTTATATTTAAACTATTCTGTATAAGAAATACACAAGTAAGATACATTTAAGTAAATAATATTTTTACTATTTTTGAATTGTGCAAAAAGAATTGTGTAGCACTAATACTTATTATAATATATTATATTTGTACTGACTCTATTATTATTTTTTAGTTATCGTTTTCACCAACAACACCAGGTTGGAGTCATGCAAGACTTCTTGGACTTCTTGGTGCAATTTTGGCATTATCCTCTTTCATGCTGCTACTTTGCACAGCTGCAGCCTTTTTCTTCGTTTCATTCAACACATTTGTCTTTACTGCAGCTGAGGTAATATCAATTTTGTTTGTTCATTTATTCCCTAATACATGTATAAATTTTTTGTTTGTAAGAATAAAAACCTATATGTATATAATTAAACTAAAAAGTATAATAGAAAGGAGCAATGATCATTCTAATTTTTTTGTTAACAGTGCATTCTGTTAGGTGTCAGAACAATTCATGTGATGGTGCGTTACATTATTCACCTATATGACACACGGGGAGCTGGAACACCCTCACAGCGTTCCTGGGACAAGAGAGGTCCTTTAACCTATTATACAGATCTATCGGCCGAGCTAATAGTGTTAGCTGTGGATTTCCTCCATCATATCCACATGCTACTTTGGAGTAACATCTTGTTGAGCATGGCCTCCCTTGTAATCTGTATGCAGCTTAGGTACCTCTTCTACGAAATACAGCGCAAAATTACAAAACACAGAAACTATCTTGCTGTATTGAATCATATGGAACAGAAGTAAGCATACCTTTTCATTATTTTTGTATTACACAAAGTTATAAATGAATGATTAAACTCGCATTTCTTTGATTTATTTCAATAATGATAAACAATTTTAAACAATCTGTTTCGATATTTCTTTTAGTTATCCAATGGCAACACAGGAAGAACTAGCAGAAAATTCAGACAATTGTGCTATTTGTTGGGAGAAAATGGAAACTGCACGAAAGCTACCTTGTGCTCATCTCTTTCATAATTCTTGTTTGCAATCTTGGTTAGAGCAGGACACATCTTGCCCAACCTGTAGACTTGCTTTAAGTATGCAACCTAATCACCGTGAAAACACGCAAGAATTACCAGCTGAGCCACAAACACCGGCAAGACGGAACGAAAATCATTTCTTTCATTTCGATGGCTCAAGATATGTTTCCTGGTTACCAAGCTTCTCTGTCGAAGTCTCTCATAATAGATTGCGTGGAAATATTTCTACCATTGCGCATAACAACTCCCAAATGGATGCTATGATACGACAGGTACGTTGTTTCATTTTAAATTTATTTAAATATTGAGGTTTATTAAAAAAATGATTTAGTATGGAAAAAATACAGCATTTTTTTCACTCTATCACAGTAGTAGTCGTTAAACTTTGTTCTCTTTGTTTCTGAACATATACTAGAAATACATAACAAGAAATTCATAAACTACACAACTACCAACAATTAGCAGGACACTTTTTCAAACCATCGTAACTATGGGAGTTTTCAACCGATTGAAATGAAACTGCGTGAGGAGTACTTTTGAAGTGTCCCCTAGGCGTGTGTAAAGTTGCATTGGCGAGGGTTGACGCGAAGGGGTTAATTCACCCCCC